ATCAAATTGAATTTCACACTAATTTCGTCAGGTAATTATAGCGGTTTACTTCTGGCATCCCGCCTTTTCTGAAATCAACTGTCAGAAATTCCCTGATCTTCATCGCTGTCAAATAATCAGGGAACGCGTTTGAGAGAAAAAGAGAGTCAATGCTAAAGTCTCGTATCATATTATCCATGCTGTCGCGAGCATTGTATTCCACACATCAATGGGAATCTGTAAAGTTGCCATAGAATGCTAAGGAGAAGTTGCCAATAATCAGCAACAAACGTTTTAACGTCTGAACTCAGATGTAGAATGTTCTTTCTCTCCATTGTCTTATGAAGCAATGAAGGTCGAATTTTTTAATTCAGTTCAACAAAAATTTTTAAAGTGTTAGTACATTCGTTGGAAAGTTATTGATTGGAAATTTTGTGTGGACCCACAAATATTACAAAATTACGCCATTGCTAGCTGTATGGAAACAAAACAAAAACGTGTGTCATAATTCCGCGACATAAAGTATATAAGTGTTTTTTGCAAATACACAGTGCAATCCCCAAATTTCTTACTACACGTTGTCCGGGTGTTGTCTTTTCGCGGTAGATGTGCTGTCTCATTCGTTCGCCTTGTTCGTCCTAATTGTACGTTGCTTACGGCACGGTTAACATAATTTATTTTACGGATTGATTTACTTTGTTTATTGTATCCTTGCTGCAGCAATAGTGGTAATATAACATGTTATTTATCATTTATTTTTTTAAATAAGTTTATATCGGCGAAAAAATAATTTGATGTTGAAAATAAAACTCAAAAAGCAAATAGAAATATTGTGCCCAACTGAGAAAAAATATACACATATATATATAAATTGTATGATATTCGAGTGGTATGGGTACGGTCGAAGTTTAAACTTAAATTTATACGTAAAGTCATTTTTATTATCATAAAAAAGTTTTATAAGTCATCAAATTATGCGGACAAAGCATATGCTAGTAAATGATTAAATTCATTAAAATGGATTTTCGTATATATCGTCGCATCATAGGTATCATTATTAATCTGGAAGAAATAAATAATAAATTTCGGTGGCAATAACTATATTTCCTCTGAACTTAATTTAGGCATCAATATATCTTATATTGGTAATTTTGTGTTTAATACTATTAAACAAAATTTTATACGACTTTTGCGATTACTGTTTCACGTGTTTCGCCTGAAATGTTCTTTATATACATAACGTAAAAATTGGGCAATGTCCCATATTTGTAGTAAAAAATTTCACTTTTTAGTTCTTTGATTAAAATATTTGCTTCGTATTTAAATAAGTTAAACCTTATTGTGTAACATGTATAAGCAATATTAAGTTTTGGAGGAAGCTTTTTCGAAAAAAAATGTAAACAGCTTTATATATTATAATATGTAAATGTATATTAATTTCATGGTAAAATTAATACAAGTATCCCCCATTTTATACTTCATCGATTTAGGCTGAAATTTAGAAAAGCACCGATGTCGGGCTTAAATGAGTATTTACGGATGGAGGAGGTCCTCCAGATCAAGAAAAAAAAATGTATATACAGTTACGGACAATATAATAGAAACAACCATGATACTAATTTTCCGTTCTAGAAAATATGTATTTCACATAAGTTCAACTAAGTTATATATATATATATATATAGATTATTTGGGTAAAATTTAGAATAGCATCTGTCTCTTATACACATCTAGATGTGTATAAGAGACAGGTATAGAGGAGGTCCTCCAGATCAAGAAAAAAAAATGTATATACAGTTACGGACAATATAATAGAAACAACCATGATACTAATTTTCCGTTCTAGAAAATATGTATTTCACATAAGTTCAACTAAGTTATATATATATATATATATACCTGTCTCTTATACACATCTAGATGTGTATAAGAGACAGATATTATATAAAATAAATGTGTGCAAATGAATAAGTGATGTGTTAGTGTATATAACATTAAAAAATTTAAGTGAAAAATTAATTTTAAATACCAGAAATATGTAATTAAAATATTGCAAAATTTCAAATTTAATCGCGAATATCTCGAAAACTATAAGCTTCCTGCGGCTATAACCATATATATTCGTGATCTGGAGAATCTCCTCTATCCGACCATACCCATTTTATTCTCGAAATCCTGGGACGGTATACTAAAGTCTTCCCTTATACACATCTAGATGTGTATAAGAGAAAAACTATAAGCTTCCTGCGGCTATAACCATATATATTCGTGATCTGGAGAATCTCCTCTATCCGACCATACCCATTTTATTCTCGAAATCCTGGGACGGTATACTAAAGTCTTCCCAAAAAAATAACCCTGGTCGATCCAACACCGGGGTGTTCAAAGTTCTTTCGCGTAGAACTCCTTTCTGCAACTATACCCATTTTATCCTCGAAATCCGGGGATGCTATTCTAAATCCCAGCCGTTATGACGTCCTAATCGTTCTTGTTTTTATTCCATTACAAAATTTAGTGAAGTGTTAGTGGACATAAAATTTAAAAATATAAGTGTCCAATTAATATATCTCGGAGAAGCATGCTTTTTAGTAGTTGAATTTTTGAACTTTAAACGCAAATATCTCAAAAACCATAAGTCAGCTTCAACCATATAGCAGACCAATAAAGTTTACATACATCTATTTCTATTAAAACACGGCATGTTTATTTGTTATAAAATGAATAAATTTAGCGTTTTTTTTTGCTGGGATTTAGAATAGCATCCCCGGATTTCGGGAATAAAATGGGTATCACTGGAAAGGTGACGTTCTCCAGATCACGAAAATATATATATATAGTTGCCGATGACTTATAGTTTTAAAGATATTTGCATTTAAATTTAAAAAATTTACAACTTTTAAATTGATAATTTGTATATTGTGAACAACCTTTTCACTTATATAATGCACTTTTCACTTACTGACACTTCACTTTTTTTTTGAAGCGCGGCCGAAGGCCGCCAGTACAGGAAGAAGCCGCGCATCAAAAAAAAAATAACACTGGTCGATCCAACACCGGGATGTTCAGGGTTCTTCGCGTAGAACTCCTTTCTGCACCTTTTTTGCTTTTATAAACAATTTTTAAAGATTTTTGGCGTTTTTAATTTATGTATTTGGGGTATAAAGTTTTTGCATATTTTCTTTTGTTGACAACTAGATATATATGGCAAAACCATATATTTGCTAGTATGCAACCCTAGTCTTGCTGTGCAAATGCAGTGATTTAACTGAAACAAAATAATTAAAATAAAGCTCTATTTGTAATAAATATAAAAAAAATACATATACAAAAATGTTATAGTGAAGTGTTAGTAAGTGAAATGTGCATAATATAAGTGAAAACGTTATTAATAATATACAAATTATCAAATTAAAAGTTGTAAATTTTTTAACTTTAAATGCAAATATCTTTAAAACTATAAGTCAGCTATATACATATATTTTCGTGATCTGGAGAATGTCACCTTTCCAGTGACACCCATTTTATCCCCGAAATCCGGAGACGTTATTATAAATTTTACCCTTTTTTTCTATACATTTCAAAAGATGTATATTTAGCATTAAATATAGCATATCAAAATATTTTTTTTACACAAATAAAAAAAATTATGATAAAGCCATATATGTATATGGCCATATTTTATATCAAAAAAGTTTACGTACGCTAATGATGATTTATATATATCAAAAGTAATTACAATACTTATAGCGGTTTATGGCATACATTTTGTTGCTGTTATTGTCCCTAGACATCGACGTATGCTCCCCACTCAATTTCTAGTATTATTTCCGGATATTTTGACCCACTAGGTCCATGATCCAACTTTTTTCCCTTATTTTGATGAAATTCGATGTTTTCGAATACGGTTTTCTGAAAAATTCCAGAAATTTTTAACGGGACCTATGGATTTGTTTTTAATTTCATAACAACCCTTCACGTGCATGATAAGTTGTGTGTCTTAGGTCGTTATCCTGTGGTAAATAGAAATGTCTGCTATTAACAGCCGATTTAAGCACACTTAAAATTTAAGTTATTTTGTTAAAATTATTTTATATTAAATAATAATAAAAATAATATTAATATAATTTTAAGTTCAAATTATTAAACTATAGCTGAAATATATTTTTTCATACATATTTTTAATGGAATAAAAATAAGAATAAAAATAGGTAAAAAAACTTTTTAAGTTAAACGGTTTTATGTTAAACATACATACATTGCAATGTTAATGTTTAATCAACGATTGTAGACAATTGACGTGCCCCACGGTTTTATTTTAGTCTAGTCTATGCATATGTTTATAATTCCCACGACTGTATCTATTTTATTATTTTTTGGTTTTTAGTACATTTATCTTAAACATTGCAATGTATGTTTAACATAAAACCGTTTAACTTAAAAAGTTTTTTTATCTATTTTTATTTTCTAGTTTTTAGTTTTTATTTTTTTCACCATGTCCCCGCTTTTGTTTCACTACAGTTCGGGGGGTATAGGGAGGGAGGGGGGTAAAAATTAATTTGCGAGTTAGTTCACACCTGGGGCTTTCAGGAAACCTCCCCTCTATCCCCACCAGGGGCTGAGCATTAGCCATCTTAGATTTCAATTTTGCATAGTAAATTCTACTTCTTGAGACCTTTCATTTGATACCCATGTTGATGGGATTGATAAAACCTACGTTATCCGCCATTTTGTAGCGACAGCCATCTTGAATTTAAATTTTTTATAGTATATTGTATTCTGCTTGTTGAGCCTTTTCATTTGATACCCATATTGATGGGATTGATAAAACCTACGTTATCCGCCATTTTGTAGCGACCGCCATCTTGGATTTCAATTTTTTATAGTATATTGTATTCTGCTTGTTGAGCCCCTTCATTTGATACCCATATTGATGGGATTGATAAAACCTACGTTATCCGCCATTTCGTAGCGGCGGCCATCTTGAATTTATAATGATAATGAATAAACATAATTGTATTGTCACCAAAACCCAAAGTGTATACAAAATTTCAGATTAATCGGTTGACAGGAAGAGGGTGAAATTTGAATTACTAAATTTGATCCAAGAATAAATAATAAAACAAACGGGGTGAGCTAAATAAAACCATTTAAAAAAGAATGATTATGCCGTCAATACAAAATTCATTATCGTGTGATGAATCATGTAAAATCTTTCAGAATTTTCATTATCTTGATAAATAATGGTGTTGGATCGGCCAGTGTTACTGTTTTTTTTGAAGCGCGGTCGAAAGCCGCCAACACAAAAAGGAGTTCAATGCGAAAGAAGTTCGTGTCGTTTGGGTATTATTTGTTTTCTTTATTTCTTTTGTTGTAAGTAAGGTAACACTGATTATTATTTAGAATGCAACCCATTTGTTATTGAACAAAAATAATGGATCAAAACTTAAATATTGAATAAAACTTATTTTTGCACTATTTAATATAAAATAAATGGTTAGAAACGAATTAGTAAATTGCTAGTGAACTTAAAAGTTAAAAGCAAAAGTGTAAAATTCATTATAAATCGGAGAAATACTCGTTTTAACATTAAATGCATATATCTCAAAAACCATAAGTCAGCGGCAACTATATATATATTTTCTTGACCTGGAGGACCTCTTCTGATGTTCTAACAGATATCTAATGTCTGTTAGGATGATAAGGATTATCTAGCTTGTAATAATATATA